CACTTAGACCATTTGTACCATTCAGTGAAATAGGAAACAAGAGGTATGTAGGGCAAAGAGGAAGATAAATGATGAATTTAGTTTTGTATATTATCTGTGGGATATCTTAGTAGAAATGTTCAGTAGACTCTTAGACATATGGTTCTGAGCTCAGGATGAAAATTTGGACTGGAGATACAGACATAGGAGGTGATAGAAATGACATCTGAAGCTAGAGGAAAAAAAGAAATTGGGAAATGTGTAGAATGAGAAAGTGAAATCCAAGAACCAATCTCTGAAGAATACCTACATTTAAAGGATGCAGTAGAAAGAGAAGCTAATAAAGAACAGCAGAGTAACCAAAAGGGAAGAAGAAAAACCAAGGGAATGTCACAGAATCCCAGGAGAGATTTTCAAGATGAAGGTAATAGGCACTGTGTTGAATTTTGCAGCCTTGAAAATCAAGAGCAGGAAAGCATCTATTACATTTAGCATCAGGGAGTTTAGTGATCTCAGTGAAAGCAGTTTGACGGAGAAATGGAGGCAGAGGCAGATTACAATAAGTAGAAGAACGAATGGGAAGTAAGGGAATGATCTAGACAAGTCTTGCCTGAAGCTTGGTTATTAAAAGGAGAAAAACAAGGCTAGCTACGTAGTAGGATATGGTTGATGGACGAGTTTTAAATCTCAAACTGTAAGAGCTTTACATTTTTCTAATTATAAAAAGAGTATGTTGTAAATAATTCAGGCAATGAAGATAAGAACATGAAGAAAAATAAAAACATGAAAATAACCTAGAAATAATCATTGCTATCATTCTGATGTAATATTTCTATACTTCTTTCAGTATATATTATACTATGCCTAAGCTTCTTTTTCTGGTTTAATAGACAAAAACAACCATCCATGGCAATGAATAATTACAGTTATATTAAATTCATGATAGCCACAATACGGGCATATCAGAATTCATTCGCTCAATCCCCAGCTGATGGACATTTAAATTGTTCCCAGTTTGTTGTTAACAGTGCTCCCATAATCATTCTTGTAGAGAAATTTTTATACATTTGTCTAATTGTTTCTTTAGGATAAAATCGAGGAAATAGAATTGCTGGGTTGATACAAGAGAGGGGATGATTGGTAAATCAAGGCTTCAGGAGAAGGTACATCAGCACAGATAGGGTTAGCCTTAGATCCTAGAAGAGGCACCTTTCTACATTTCCCCTTGGGACAAGAGGGATAGAGGAAATAACTGGTTGTGCCACAGTTAAGTTTATAAGTGGAGTAGCAGGAAATCATTTGCTGAAAGCGAAAGCAGAGGTGATGATGTAGAGATCCTGAGGAGAGTGAAGAAGGTTTGAAATTGTACCTACGGACTATGAAAGAGGGTGCTGAACTGTAAAAAAAAAAAAAAAAGTATTGACATTTGATGTGTTTGGCACCAATTGGCAATGGCATCAATTTGCACATTTGTGTAATTGTTTACCAGCAGCACTCAGCAGCCAGAGTTATGGAGTAGAAAGACACATGAGTTCAGGACTGAAGATACTGGCAAAAGAGTAGATCAAATGATGCACCATGAGGTCCAGGCTGCATGAAGAAGGAAGGAAAGACAGGAAGAGGTTAGATAAGAAATGCAAGAGTCAGGAGGACTCAGTAAAGTAGAGGAAAAGTATTTAAAAAAGAAAACTAGAAGGATAGGAGATTGTGATCAGAAAGCAGGATATTTGAACTTAAGATTTCAGAGGTAAAGTAATTCTAAGTATAACAAGAAACAGTGTGCCCTTCGAAGTGGGTTAAAAGACATTGTTTAAGTCCATCTTAGCTGTTTCTGTAGCAGAAGATTGTGATTAATAGTTATTGAAAGCTGAAATATATAGTATGCCTATTTGTAAATTTAGAAAGAACTTATTTTTTAATGAGATTTAATGTGTATTGTAGAAAACCTGGAATCAGATTACTTTGGCAAGCTCGAACCTAGATTCTCAATCATACGAAATTTGAACAACCAAGTTCTCTTCATTCGTGCGGGACACGCTCTGTTAGAAGATATGACTGATGCTGACTGTGAAGGTATTTTTAAAATATATTTGCAAACACAGAAATGAGAAGCTACTTCTTATTACATTTTACTGACTATGTTTTTCTATGATAGACCTAGCCCTTAAATGAAAAGGCATAGGAGGAATAATCATTTCACTTACAAGAAAGTTCATAGGGTATCCATAATTTTTAGTTGGGGTAAAAAATTGATACAATAAAGATATTGCTGGGGGGGTGGAGTAGTGTAAAAGGGATCAAATATATGGTGATGGAAGGAGGCTAGGATTCAGGTGGAAACCACACTATAAAGTATACAGATGTTGTAAAGTGGTACACATTAAATTTATATAATGTTATTAAGCAATGTTACCCCAATAAATTTAATTTAAAAAATTTAAAGATATTGCTATGGGTTTTGCAACTCTGAGCCTACATTTGGATCACCAGTTCCTTCGCTGTAATTGCATTAACTGTATAAGATCTCTATAGAGTTGGATCTTTAATACCTGCTGGTAATGGCTGAATTTGCTGATAGCATTTTCAAAACTCAAAATTAAAAATAAATACACAAGGATTTCAAATAAGTCTGTCTTCTACCAGAAATTTAGAGTGCCTTAGAAAATGAATAAGTTTATTATACCTTCCAAGATATGAATTCTAAATATCAAAGTTTAGGTAGAGTTGAAACAGTGAATGTGCACGCTTGAAAAATACTGAACTTTTACCTTAACAGATACATTTTTACTATTTCATTTAGCATTTAAAAGTTAAAGACAATCTTGTGTTGTAATACATATTTGAATATGTTTTAAAGAATGTGTGAGCAGCTATGTATACTTTCCTAACTGTCTGAATCTCAGAGTGCAGGATAGGTAATAGGTCTATTAAGGATTATCCTTTGACTAATTCTATAAATACTGATTTGCAAAAATTCTTCTAACTAGCACTCTCATTTGTTAATGTTTATTTCAGCAAATGCATCCCAGACTACATTCATCATATATATGTATAAAGATAACCTCGCTAGAGGTCTGGCCGTAGCCCTCTCTGTGAAGTATGGTAAAATTGCTACTCTCTCCTGTAAGGACAAAGCTATTTCCTTTAAGGTAAGACTGATCGTAAATTTGTTTTAGTCATATTTATGTGGAAAATTAGAAAACCCAAACGTTCTCAGTCCAACCTTTTGTCTAGAACAAGAATGGCAGGAAGCAGAGAGCCATTAAAATAGTTACTAAAAATTGTCCAACTTTTTAACCTATTGTAGTAGCATCATGCTTTTTCTGAGCTTGCCATACAGAGGAAGGGGTACAACACTTGTTTCATAACCTGGGTTTTCTGAATAATCAATCTATAGATAAATAATAATGTAGAATACATATGTGAATTATCACATTTGAGAATTGCATTTGACTTTCCAAAATAAGTCCTTATACACAGAATGAAGCTAATTATCCTTCTGTAGCCTTTCTACATACTTTGTGAATTATAATGGTTATTTTAATCCCTAGTTGTTTTGTTCCTGCTTCTTGGCACACCCTTTAGCTTTCAGTTGATGTATGTTATTTTTAATGCAAATCTAAGTGAATAAAATTAACAAGATCATCTGTAAAAACAGTGGTATATGACGTATCCCAAAGCTAGGTATGATTATTTCTGGCCACTGCTTTTTTTTCTCTATTCTCCATTTTTTCTCATTATTTTTCTCTATTTTCTCCATTATTATTAATAAACGACCATTAACAGTAGCTACAGACTGACCCAGAAAATTTGACTCCCAGTGAGAGCAGCCAAGGGATGCTCACAAATTGACAGTGTTTCAAAAGCGAATCCCATGTTTTTCTGAGTGGGGATTTGCCAATAAAGAACTGCTGTCAAGATCACCCAGTTCCCCCTGAAGGTTAGAGTATGACCTTAGTGAACATGCCAGAGGGCAACTTGGGAGGGAGGAAAATGCCACTGTAAAGTATAATCCAAGTAAACTCAGTGTGTATGCCACAAATACAGCCTCCAAACAAATCCCTTAGCCATCCCCTCCAGCCAGAGTGTCACCCCTTTGGGTAGCAATTTGGAGTCCCTATTTTCTGCCTAACAAGCAGCAAGTTTACTCATCATAATGGCTGTGGAGGCCTGAGATGACAGGCAGGGTGATGATTAAGTATGTTGTTACTTAGCAACAAAATCAGAAAGGAAAGAGGGAGATGGCCAAACTCAGTTCATGTGGGGCAGAGGAAAACTAATTCAGCTGCAGAGGCAGATTCAGAAAGTGGGATGAGCCTGAACTATAAGTGGGTTATTATTAGGAGAGACTGGGGAGTGTTAAAAAAGATAGAAAGAATTCTTGGCATATAGTAGAAATTGGGGCAAATCCAAGTTTAGGTAGCCTGAAACTTAAACAATTTAGAAAAACCTTTTAAAGAAAGAAAATAGAAAATTACCAAAGGCATATAAGGGGTCTGAGCCGGATGAGTGGCTCAGTTGGATAAGAGCATGAGCTCTGAGCAACAGGGTCGCTGGTTCAATTCCCACATGGGCCAGTCAGCTGCGCCCCAGCTGAGCTGCTGAGAGTGCGTGCTCTTAGCAACAAGGTTGCTGGTTCGACTCCCGCATGGGATGGTGGACTACCCACACACACACACACACACACACACACAACTAGATTGAAAGCGGCGACTGGACTTAAGAGCTGAGTTTGCGCCCTCCACAACTAAGATTGAAGGACAACAACTTGACTTGGAGCTGATGGGTTCGGGAAAAGCACAATGTTCCCCTTCCCCAATTCCCCAATAAAAATCTTTAAAAAAAGAAAGAAAGAAAAGAAGGGGTCTTAGAAGAGACCTGTGCAAGTGAGGGACTCTGACATTTAAGCTTCATAGCAAACCTGCTTCTGAAAGGAACTCAGTAAATATTGGTCGAAGAGACAGAGGGAGGAGCGAAGGAAGAAAAGAAAGCAAAGGGCTAGATTTAGCTTGTGCTCTTTAATCCATTGCCCCCACACTAAGGATCTTAGCAGTGATTATAAATATAGACTACCTTCTAAATAATAAGACATAACTGGCCACCATTATGTGTTCACCTTTTTGTGTTAATTACTATCTATAAAGTCCTCGTGCTTATGGTTACACCTGTTTTCTTTGTGCAAGCACCTTCATGATACCAAGAGGGATTCTTCAAGAAGTTACTGTTAGCATCTGTTTCTTATATATACATCCAGGCATGGTCAGGCTCTGTCAACCTTGCTAAAAGCACTTGGGAAAGTGCCAAAAACATAGATGTTAGGTCAAGCTTCACTTTCTCTGGGTTCAGATTAAACTCTTCCTGATGTAAACAATCCTTTAGGCCCTTGAAGCATTCAAGTTTCACCATGTAGGGCTTTCCAAGTTAGGGGTTCCCCAAGGTCACCAGGATTGTTGTCACATTCATTTGCTGTGCACCTTTCCCTATAATGGTTATGAATAGTTAACACCAAAACCAAGGAAAGTTACCGCCCCAGGACTTCCTTGCCCCTGTTCTGAAATGTGACATTGAACTATGATTAGAGATTTCCTATTCTACCTATCCACACCCCCACTTTATAACTTTCTGTGCTAAGTTTGAACTAACAGGCTCATCTCCTAATATTTCTAGAGCTTTTTGGCTAAGGATTACATTAAACTCAGTTACATTAGACTTTAGCTTAGTCCCAAATTGACTCCCCCAGCTTTGGGTCTCTTCATAAATTCTAGGATACAATAGACAGCTGCAAAAATATGTACCAGTGGGGGAACCATTTATACTGTCATTAATTTAGGACTTACACTTGTTGATAAAAGACAAAGGTTAAGAGTTATGACTATAAATTCCATAATTGATTGAGAAGTTTGGAGGTACCCAAACTTCTTTCAGGCATCGTAGGAGGAAGCTGGACTGCTATTTGGATCTGGAGATCTGTCAGTCCTTAGTTAGGATCATAAGACTCTTTGCTACCATGGGATCAAAATTAAGTTCAAATGTTTACTGGTTCTAGAATTAACATGGGAAGAACCTTGGGTGGTCCTCAGATTTTCTAGTCTATCTTGAAAAGTAGGTATGGAGCAATGATAAGAAAAGTGTAGGCAGTACTGTCAGTTAAGTGACCAGCAGATCAAGTATTCTAGCCATTCTTGAGCAAACCCTATTCTGTGTCTGAAAGATATAGGAATCAGCATTTGGCCTTCCAGGGCAGGGCCAGCCAACAAACTACTTTCAGAACAGAAAATCAGGACTGCTATGAAACTGGAGTACTTGGCAGGGAAAAGTCAAAGGCTGCTGACTAGGTCAACCATAGAGGAACCCAGGACCTAGCCCTAGTGCACCTAGAACTGAAACTTGCTGTAAGTTCTAGGCTGCACTAAAGGAGAGAAGCTGAGACTCCTGCCACTGCTGCCTCTCACACTTGGCTCACAAACTAGAGCTAGGCGAGGCCTATGGGTAGAGGTCATCAATGTCTTTAGCTCTGAATGGTTGGAAAAGACAGGAACCACATTAGCCCAAAAAAGTTGTGGTCTTTGCTAGAATTCTACTTCATCTTTGGCAGATATGGACTCCACTCAATGGGAGAGGAGAGAAGGAAGCTATCTGATTAATACTGGGAAAAACTAGAAACCTAGACCTGAATGTGCATTCCATGGTGGGAAAAGCCAAAGTGGACAAGGAGAATAGGAGATTAGGAATTAAGAGGGAGAGATCAGTATTCCTATATTCAGAGACTTTTTTTCTTAACTCTTGAGAGTAAAAACTTCTTTAGTTCTGTGCAGTAATATACTTATAAATAAACTGCACATATTTGAATTGTTCATGGCCTAAAAAATTAATATTTTTTCTCTACAGGAAATGAATCCTCCTGATTATATCAGTGAAGAAGAAAGTGAAATCATATTCTTTAAGAGAAGTGTTCCAGGACATGACAAGATACTATTCGAGTCTTCACTGTACAAAGGATACTTTCTAGCTTGTAAAAAAGAGAATAACCTTTTCAAACTCATTTTGAAAGAAAAGGACAAACAGGGCGATGAATCTATAATGTTCACTGTTCAATACAAGGACTAGATATTACAATTGCATGGTTTGAATTTTATGAATTTTTGTATTTCACACAAGTTATGAGACTGGGCCTGTAATTATAGTGATGAAATAAAATAAGTAACGATATCAATAGATACCACTATGAAATGAATAATAAGCTTTCACAAAATTGAGTCGACTCCCCCTTAACCAGATGAATAAAATATTTGCATAGTTAAAAGAATGCATAGTTTGAAAACATACTCTACATCTTTAATTGGAACACAGATTATATTCAGCAGAAGTGTTTTGAATCTTTGGGGTAAATGGTCCTAATGATGAAAGATACTTATATTTGAATTTTCTGTTAAGAATGTCATTAAAACCATCTAGATTTTATAGAGACTACTTGACTTAACTAATTTCTGCATTTCTTCCAAAGTCAGGATATCTTTAAAAGTCAGATTGATCCTGAATCCTGCAACATATACTGTAAAAGAGATTATATACTCTGAGCAAGTGGCATTCAACTCAGGAATGCAAATGGTTTAATATTTTAAAATCAATTAATGTAATAATTAATAGAATAAAGGATAAAACCACACAATCATCTCAATGCAGAAAAAGCATTTGACAAAATCCAATTCATAATAAAAATTCTCAAGCAACTTGAAAGAGAAGATAACTTCCTCAGTGTGATAAACCTACAGCCAACATACTTAATGGTGAAAAAATGCAAGAATGTCAGCTCTTGCAACTTCTATTCACAACGTAGTGGAGGTTCTAGCCAGTATAATCACAAGAAAAAGAAATAAAAGGCATCCAGGTTAGAAAGGAAGAAGTATGGGCCAGCTGAGTGGCGCATTGGTTAAGAGTTGGCTTGGGATGCCAGCTCTGAGCAGCAGGGCCCCGGTTTGGATCCCACATTAGGGCCAGTGATGCTGTGTCCTCTACAGCTAAGATGGTGAACAACAGCTCGACCTAGAGCTGAGCTGCATGAGTTGCTGGCGACTGCATAGGCTGCAGTGGGGCTGGCCGGCAGCTGGTGTGCACTTTTGTGAGCTGCCGTAAGCCCAATGATAATACCAATATGGGCCAGTGAAGCGACGTCCTCCACAACTAGACTGAAGAACAAAAGGACAGCAACTTGTCTGTTCCCCTTCCTCAGTTCCCCAATGCTGTTCCCCTCCCCCAATTCCCCAATAAAATCTTTTAAAAAATAAAATTAAAGAAAGGAAGAAGTAAAATTGCCCATATTTGCAGACAAGATTCTGTACATAGATCGGAATATACACACATATGTGCATAAAAACATGCACATGACCCCTATTAATAAGAGTTCAGCAAGGTTGCAGAATACAAGATTATGAAAATAAATTTCTTTTCTATATACAAGAATGAATCATCTGAGAATAAAATTCTATCCACAATAGAAAGAAATATAAAAAATTTAGCAAAAGAAGTGCAAGATTTGTACAATAAAAATTTCAAAATATTGCTGAGGGAAATTAAATATGATCTAAAATGGAGAGACAGTCCACATTCATTAATTGGAAGACTCAATATGTTAAGATGGAAGTTCTCCCCAAATTGATCCATAGATTCAACTCAATCTCTATCAAAATTCCTGCAGGCTTTTTTGTAGAAATTGACAAGCTGTACCTAAAATGTATATGGTAATCAAAAGACACAGAATAGCCAATTTTTTTTTAAAAGAACCAAGTTGAAGAACTTTCATTTCCCAATTTTAAAGCATTATAATCTACAGTTATCTGAACAGTTTGGTATTAGCATAAGAATAAACAGGCGGGCCAGCCAAGTGGCTCAATTGGTTAAGAGCTTGCTCAAGAGTGCAAGCTCTGAGCAACAGCGGTTCAATTCCCAGCCTGAACTGAGCTGCTGCTGAGCTGCCAACAGTTGGTAGGATGGCTCAGCTAAAAAAATAATAATAGTAAAAAATAAAAAGGATAAACATATATCAATGGAACAGGTTTGAGAGTTCAGAAATAAACCCTTATATTTATGGCCAGTTGATTTTTGACAAAAGCAACCTGATAGAAAAGGGGAATTTTCAACAAATGGTGCTGGGACAATTGGATATCCACATTGAAAAAAAAAATGTAGACTCTTACCTCACATTGCATATAAAAAGTAATTAAAAATGGATTAGAGACATTAATGTAAGAGCTAAAGCTATAAAACTTTTAGGCTAAAACAGGAGAAAATGTCAAGACCTTGGGTTAGGCAAAGATTTTTTAGACCCAACCCAAGAAGTGTGATCCATAAAAGAAAAATATTAATAAATTGGACTTTCTCAAAATTTGGGAGTAAAACTGGGTGAAGGATACATATAACCTCTCTATAATATCTTTGCAATTTCCTGTGAATCTTTACTTAAAAACTAAAATATTTTTACAAACAACTTTGCACTCAAATGATACCAGTAAGAAAATGAAAAGACAAGCCACAGACTGGTGAAAATATATATAAATCACATATATGAGGAAAAAAAAAAGAAAGAACTTGTATCCAGAATATACAAAGAATTCTCACAGCTCAATAAGAAGACAGTCCAATTTTTAAATGAACAAAAGATTTCAATACACATTTCTCAAAGAAGATATACAAATGGCTCATAAGCACATGAAAAGATGCTCAACATCATTAGTTGATAGAGAAATGCAAATTAAAACCACAAGGAATTACTACTTTACAGCCATCAGGATGGCTATGATCAGAAACATGACAATAACAGGTGTTGACAAAAAATGTTATGAAACAGAAATTCTCATACATTGCTAGTGGGAATGTGAAGAAGTACACTTTGGAAAAGTTTTGCCATTTCTTAAAAGGTTAAATATAAATTTTTCATGTGACCCAGCAATTCCATTCCTACATATCTATTCAAGAGAAATAAAACATGTTCACATGAAGATTCACACATTAATGCTCATTTCACCATTATTCATAATAGCCATAAAGTGGAGGGATTAACAAAATGTGGTATACCCATAATGGAATACCAATACTAATAAAAAGTGTAAAATACAGATACATTCTACAACACAAATGAACTTTAAGTACACGCCAAGTGAAAGAAGCCAAACACAAACATTACATATTATAATATTCTATTTATATGAGATTTCCAGAAAAGGAAAATCTATAGTAACAGAAAAGTAGATTCATATTTGCCTAGGGTTGGGATAGGAATGTGGGTTAACTGTAAACAGATATGAAGGATCTTATTGGAGAGAAGAAACTGCTCTAAAACTGGATATGGTGATGGTTGCACAACTAGGTAAATTTACTAAAAATTATTGAATTGTATACCTAAAATGGATGAATTTATGGTATGTAAATTATACCTCAATAAAGTTATTTTAAAAAGAGAAAAAAGACACGATCAAATTTTTGTATTAACTTTTCTTGTTTTTTCCTTACTATACCATTAAGACATTCATTATAAAAATTTTAGAAAATACAAAGGAACTGTTAAAAAACAAAATTCAACTGAGTAAATCTGAAGATCTAATTGGCTTTACTCAATGACTCATGAATCAGGTAGCATCCCATCTAGCAAATAGAAAGGGGCTTCAAGAGGAAAGGAGCTCCGAGGAGCTGTACAAAATTGAAGGCTTTTATAGGAATAGGGGACAGGGACATGGAAAGAGTAGATTACCTCATCTTTCTCTGGGGGATGGGAGGGATCTCTCAGGTGGATTATCTCACTACTGCTGACCAGAAAATTCCAGATTGACTGGTTAAAGAGGTTAAAACTACAATTAGTTTAAGTCTTGGTTGACATGGGCTTAGCACAAGTGACTCCATTTTGGGCCCATTGTCTCTTCTTTTTGAACAGTACAAAAAGAAGAGAATTTAAACCACCCATCCTTCCACCTTTGGATAACCATTTTTGCCATTTTGGCTAGGTCATTACAGTTTTTTGTTTGTTTTTTCTCTACAGGAATTTAAGCCGAAAAACTAAAACACTCCCTACCTCTCACCCTAGACAGAATCCGGTATACCTTTACAACAATCCTTTCAAAGCTGCAGTTGAAATCTTGAAAATGCAAAGGGGGAGTCTGAGCTGAATCTGGATATAAGGAATGGAAAGAGCTATAATGGTTCCGCATAAGGAAAGATGGGGCTCTGAGAGGTAGAATACAAGGAGCGTCCTAGCTTGAGTTCCTTCCCACGAAAACAAAATCAAAAGTGGGCTGCAGGGTGTCAGATGGACACTTGTCTTGTTAGGGAGCCCACTTCATGGACAGTGTAGATGTCTGATCACTGCGCTGTACACCTGAAGCTGAAGCTGAATAATATTGAATGTCAACTATAATTTTATATCTATATATAGATATATATAGATATATATATTTATATATGTATATATAGTCACAGGATGTGGAGTACAGCATAGAGAATAAGTCAGTCGAACTGTAATAGTTATATAGGATGTCAGAGGAATAGTAGATTGGGGGAGGGGGTTTATCACTTTGTGAGGGGTGTAAATGTCTATTACGTTGCTTTGTACACCTGAAACTTGAAAAAAAAAAAAGTGGGCTGAAGAAATGTGACGAACAGCACCAATCTGGACCAAAACACCATGGTCAGAAGGTAGAACTCAGGGTGACCGGTTAGCTCAGTTGATTAGAGCACGTGCTGATAACACCAAAGTTGCTGGATTGATACCTGCATAGGCTACTGTGAGCTGCGCCCTCCCTAAAAGCGTCAACTATGTCACTGCAGCATGAAAGCAATGTATAACCAATGACCATGGCTGTTCCCCAATAAAATAAAATTTAAAAAAAAAAAGAAGGTACAGTTCAAGTAATAGAAATCACCAGAGGACTTTTTACAAACAAGAGAAACAGAGAGGTATAATTCCCTTTTTCATTGAATCTAAGATGCCACTGATTGTAAAACGTACCATTATTTTATATACCACTAAAAAAAGACACTGCCTTCAATTGTAAGGCACATTCTTATTTTTGAGATATTAAAATATAAAGAGTTTCATGTCTTAAAATTGATGAACTACAAATAAAATTTAAAACTATTTGCATTACTCTAATGTAAATGACTCCATCTCCATAAACCTTTAATAAAGTCTGCTAAACACAGAACACTGAGTGACTCGTTTTTTTGTGGAAATTAGGGGGAATAGCTGAGTTTCACATCTGAATCAGTGTGAACAGAAGAAGAGTGACACGCTTTGGATATGAAGATAATCACTGTCGGAGAAAGCAGTATCTTAGAACCAAGTCTGGCCCTAGGTCTCAGGAATGTGAAGAAACTTTGAGAACATTAGACTTTCCTCAATTCATAGAATGGGGTTTGAGACAATTTTAACAAGATTTTTCTAGACAGGGAGAGTACTTTTTAAAAAAATATAACACTAGGTTCCTATTAAACATACTATTTTATGTCCTTTTCCTCTTAATTACATAATTTGGCCACTTTTTTTTTTTTTTTTTAGTTTCAGGTGTACAAAACAATATAATAGTTAGACACCCCTCACAAAGCAATAATCCCCCTCCCCCAATCTACTACCCCTCTGACATCGTATATAGCTGTTACAATTCCATTGACTGTATCCCCTATGCTGTACTCCACATCCTGTGAATATATATATATATATATATAAAATTATAGTTGACATTCATTATTATTCAGCTTCAGCTTCAGGTGTACAGCACAGTGGTGAGGCATCTACACTGTCCATGAAGAATTTGACCACTTTTTCAATTGGCTAGAAGCTAAAATCAGTTTGCCACAGGCCTGAGTCTTAGAAAATTAAATCCGATCGTGTGCTAATCATCTTATCTTTAAGCCTTCTTTCAGTAAATCT